AAATATGCAAGTAATATGCATGCTAGTTAATAGTGAGAATTTATCTCTAAACTAACGTTACCCAAAAATCACTATTACGGTTGTATTACATTACATTTAGTTCTGCATTCTGAACACAAACACCAGTATTATGTTGAGTTTGTGCATCATCCTGCAGTGTTTGTGCTCCAGACATGAATGGTTCCTCAAATCATGTGTCTTGTTAAAGGGGTCATCGGATGCCCATTTTCCACAAGTTGATATGATTCTTTAGGGTCTTAATGAAAAGTCTATAACACACTTTTGTTAAAATTTCTCAATGGTAGTGTAAAACAACACCCTTTTTTCCTTGTCAAAAACAGCTCTGCTCACAGCAACCCGTTTCGGTGCATGTCCCTTTAAATGGTAATGAGCTCTGCTCACCAATGTTACCTCTAATTTTTTTTTTCTTGCGGAGCTAAATTTTTCAGCCCCCTGAGCAAAAACACTCTTTATACCAGACCTGTACAGCGCACACACACAAAAATTTTGTAACTTTTAACTTTAATGTGCTGTTTATATTTAATTTGACCCTTGATGTGTAACTAAATGATGTACATATTTGGTTACCTGAGAAAACATTTTTTACAGTATAATACACTGCCATTTAAAAGTTTGGTATCAGTAAACTTTAATCAGTTGCTCCATTTTTGGTGGATGATAAAGCAGCTAAAAATTCTGACATTAAAGGAGGGACGGCATAATTAGAGACCAGAACATCACAGCAGCGCTCAGCAACCACACGGCTAAAACACACAATAAAGCCAACATATAGCATTTTATAAATGCATCCGTGTATTTTTTTTTCTCATTCTGTTTCTCGTCTTTCAGGATTTTAAAGTGTCCCAGGATAAGACCGGACAGACAAGAGTAGGCGATCTGTCCGCTGAGGACATGAAGAAGGTTCGCAGGCTTGTTCTGATCGAGATGAGCGCTCTGTTCGACACGTGTGGCATCGAGGTGAAGGCTCATAAAGCTCTCAAGGTCAAAGTGAGAGGTCAGTGCCTCTGATATGTGTTCAGAATCAAAAGACTGGATCTGAAAATGCTCTCAGACCTTTGAGTTCACTGTATGTTTTCCTTGCACACTGCTAAACATTTCACATCCGTTTTGTTCACACATGTGCATGCTGGAGACAAAGCCCACTATAAAAAGAGCACTTTCATGTCTGATCTTTAATTGGTTTTGATGATGATTCATGTAATTGTGTGTGAACATGCGAGCACTGAATCTGAAGCTGGTTGTGACTGTATTGTTTTGTCTTCCGTAGAGTCGGGTTTGTTTGGTGTTTCTCTCTCTACGCTGCTGGAACAAGACCAGCGGAGGATCCCGGGAACCAAAGTGCCTCTTATCCTGCAGCATGTAAGAGAGCAGAGACTTAGAACTGTAACCAAGCAAACATGATGGTAACGCAGACCAGGGGCATTAACTCGGAAACTACTACAAATCTACCTGTCATCCTTTGAGATTGGAAGCATTTATATTTCCCAGCAGTAATGGCACCATTATTTTGAGTTCAGTGCAAGAAGTCCGATAGTACAACTGTCCAGACCTGAATGTCAGAGACTTGAAGATGGGCTAGAAAACCCTAGCGGTCACATTTTGGTATTTGCTAAAAGTGCTCAAATACTCTTAACAACCACTGAAACATCTTTATAGTAACCTTTTAGCAACACCCTGGCAACCAAACACAACCTCCTTCATTACAAGAAATCTGACTGTATTTATTAACTACATGTACTTACTATATGGTTAGGATGTTAGGATGAGGGTTTGGCTTAGGTTTAGTTGCATGCAATTATGCATAATTTATTGTTATGTAACAAGGACACCATAAAATGTTATCAAATACTTTTTAGGGCCAGTACATTTTTTAAAAGAAAATACTGTTTATTCAGTAAGGATGCATTAAATTGATCAAGAGTAAAGACATTTTTAATGTTACAAAATATTTCTCTTTCAAATAAATGCTGTTCTTTTGAACTTTCGATTCATCAAAGAATCCTGAAAAATAAAATGTGTCACAGTTTCCACAAAAATATTGAGCAGCACAACTGTATTCAACACTGATAATAATCAGAAATGTTTCTTGAGCAGCAAATCAGCATATTATAATGATTTCTGAAGATCATGTGACACTGAAGACTGCAGTAATGATGCTGGAAATACAGCTTTGATCACAGAAATTGTAAAAAAAAATACAATATATTTACATAGAAAAGAGCTGTTTTAAATTCTAATAATATTTCACTGTTTTTACTGTATTTTTGAGCAAATAAATGCAGCTTTGGTGAGACTTCTTTCAAAAGCATAAAAAAAAATCTTACCAACAGCAAACTTTTGAGTAGTAATATACATATGATATGTGATCTGCTGATTTAAACTAGCTCCAAAACGCACAGTAAGATATTAAACGTTTGTTTCCAGTTGATCTCTCATATAGAGGAGCAGGGTTTAGACACAGAGGGTGTGCTGCGGATCCCTGGAGCCGCTACTAGAGTGAAGGTGAGACAGATTCTAGCATACACGATTAACATCATCACATCAGGACGCTACTGTAATGTGTCTGTTGTTTCCCAGGCCGTCTGTCATGAGCTGGAACACAAGTTTTACGAAGGCGTGTTCCCGTGGGAGAGTCTCAAACAGCACGACACAGCCAGTCTCCTGAAGCTGTTCATCAGGGAGCTGCCCTATCCTCTGCTTACCGTCGAGTACTTCAATGCCTTCGTCTCTGTGCTGAGTGAGTCCCACTCCACCCTGTACAGTGACAATAAATCGCAATCGCGATTAGGCAGAATCTGTGATTGTCATGTGCATCTTGTCAGTGAAGCACGGTTCTGTGATCAGCAGTAAATCTCCATCTGAAGGCCAGAGAAACCCAGGAAATCGCTATAGCCATTGCTGACTA